GCCAGGCTCAGTACCACCGGAGGTTCGGGAAGATTTTCCGCATGAAGCTGGGCGCTTTCGACTCGGTGCACATCGCCGCGCCCTGCCTGCTGGAGGCTCTGTACCGCCGCGAGAGCGCCTGCCCCCAGCGCCTGGAGATCAAGCCCTGGAAAGCCTATCGCGACTATCGCGACGAGGGCTACGGGCTGCTCATCCTGTGAGTGGTACCCGCAGCATCCCGCGGTCCGGGGCTGCAGGGGGAGCGGGGGTCCCGGGCTGCCCTCATCCCCCGCCCCCGGTGCGATGGAGCATCAGCAGCGCGCACCCTGCGGCATTGCGTTTCTTCTGTTTGCGGAATAAACTCTCCAACCTCGCTGTCGTTGTCTCAATCCAGGGAGGGAAAGGACTGGCAGAGGGTAAGAAGCGCCTTTCAGAAGAAATTAATGAAGCCCGGGGAAGTTGTGAAACTGGATACGACCGTCAATGAGGTACCGTGCTCTGAGAAATCCCTTCTCTCTCCCCGCTCCCCTGGAAACCCGGGGAATTAAAGCAGCTCCGGTTTATCTGGAGAGCTTTATTTGCTCCACGGTGATAAAACCACGAGTTCACACCCAGATCAAGGGAATAACAAGCACAGACTGATTGCCAGGGTCTGGGACCACACAGAAACCTGGAGCCAAGACTCTCTCCACAGAAAAACAGGATTATTCCATGAGGATAGAGGCTCCTGCAAACAGCTTTTCCTGTATTCAGTAGTTTTTGCCTTTACCCCTTCATTCTTCTGCTCCTCCCCTGAGGGAACACCTCTGTCCTTAACCTCTGTGCTCCTGAGGGAGCATCTGAGATAAACACCTTAATCCTCAGTTGTGAAACCCCAGTGCTGTCCCAGAGTGAAGGATTTCATCCCTGTGAGGGAAGCACAGCTCATCAAAGCACGAGAGTTGTGTCAAATCCAAGCATTTGTTCACACAGGGGGAAGTTGAATCTTGTTCAAAGAAAAGGGAACAAAAGGATTCCTCTCATGCAAGATTGTTATCTGCTTAAAAGGCAGCTGAAATGCTGAATTACACTGGATTTTTATTAGTTGATATCATTTTATTCCCTTCTTTTCTCTCTTCTCTCTCCACCATTTAGGTCCTGGAGGACTTTATGCACAGAATAGATGAAATTTGTGACCACAATGGACAAATGGAAGATGTCTATTCAGAATTCAACAAATGGTCTTTTGAAAGTGAGTGGGAATTTGCCTGAGTGTGGTGCACCTGCCAGGGCATTGCAGTTAAAACACGATCAGAGATGAATGTGTTGGCTGATTATTTCCAATCTCTCAGCTATAATATCATGGAAGGAGTTGCAGAATTGTCAGTGCAAAATTCACCAGCACAAAATTTCTGCATGGCTTATAAAAATTCAAACATTCCAATGATTTAGAAATCAAAAAACTGGGGGGATTATAATTCATTTATCTAGGTTGGGATCAGATAACACACAGCCCTTTATGCCCATCTGATATTTAATTATCACAGTGCAGGATCAATGAACTATTCCAATAACAGGGTGTTGGCTGTAGTCAAAGATTGGAAAATCCCATTTCCAGTGTTTACACGGGGATTGAGAAGGGCTGGAATGAGTTACCAAGACAGAGCCTCATCCTTAGAAACCTTTCAGAGCACACTGAGGAATCTGCCAGGAGTGCCACAGGGCAGAAAGGGGCTCAGTGATTCCCAAAAAAAAGGGATGGTTTGGGTGTAGTGGCTGCACCAGCCCTGCCAGACCTGAGTGCTCTGGGCTGGCTCCTCTCAGAGCCCCTGGACTGAGCTCCTCAAAGTGTTTTGTTTTTTTTTCCACTGGCAGTGGTGATGGCTGCTTTTGGAAAGGGAAAAATAGGAAATGACAGCTTGAAAAGAAAGAGGGGAAAAAGAGACAAATGGAAAGTGGTGGAGTGTGGGGTGGTGCCAGCGTTTACAAGAGGTTTGTGGCTGTGGGGAGGAGCAGGCAGTGCTCTGGTCAGTGGCTCTTCAGGCCCTCTTCTCCTGCCACTCGATTTTCTTCAGTAAAGTCACCAAAAATGAGCCAAATATCCAGTTCTGTCGCTTGTGAGGGGATCAGTGGCAATCCTAATTTGTGCAGAAATATTGCTGTAAGGGCCCTGGAAACCCTCCAGACAAGCAGGAGGTGTTTTACAAGTGCTGCTCTGACAGGTCTGTATCAAAGAACATTTTCAGAAGGCTCATCCAAGCCATTCCCTGTCGCTAAACGATGCATCCCACGCTCCTTTTGTTTATAAATGTAATTATAATATTGCCTAACAACAGGTATCTGCCTGGTGCTGTATGGGAAGAGGTTTGGCCTCCTGCAGCAGGATGTAGAAGAAGAAAGTCTGAACTTCATCAAGGCTGTAAAAACGGTATGGAGGAGTCTCTCCTGGGGCTGTGGTGGGTTTGTTACCCCTGGTGTCAATGAGAGGCAGCAGTGTAGAGGAGTCAGCTGGGGAAAGCAGCTCCAGCTCCTGTATCCCAAAGGTGCCCAGCTAATCCCAACCTCCTGCCTCCCTTCTGGAATGCCTGACAGGGAAATGCTGAGTGGCCATCAGGGCAATCCTGGATGGAGAATCAGCTTGGCTGGTGACTCTGCTGCTCTCCTGTGCTGCAGCCCTGCAGGGTGGGGCTGGCTTAGTCATTCCCACAGGCACGGCTGCCCTGGGGTACAAACCTGCCTCACTGACTCAGCCCTGCCCAAAAACACCTTGTCCCACTCTCAGCAGGTGCCTAGCATAAATAGGATGCATTCCCTACTGAGGAAGCTCCTGGCTGTCCCTAATTTTTACCTGGATATGCCCTAATTAGACTGACACCGTCCTCTCTGGATGGGAAATCCAGAATTCCGCCTCCCTGAAAACTTCTCCCTGCTCTCCAGCCTCGTATTGTTCAGGGATTGCAAATAGATGGATTAAAGAGATTAAAGAGAGGTTTCCCCACCTCTTTCCCCCCACAGATGATGGCCACTTTCGGGATGATGATGGTGACCCCTGTGGAGCTGCACAAGGGGCTCAACACCAAAGTCTGGCAAGCTCACACCAAAGCATGGGATGATATATTTAAAACAGGTCATTATTTAACCCAGATTGATCTCCTTTCCTTTTATCTCTGTCTCCTTGCTGGAACTGGTCTGTTCACACTTGCTGCTGTCCTGTGCTGCTGTTAATTCCCGCCTTCAGCACGGATTAAAACACCTTTGCTGTACCTAAACACGGATTTATTCCCACATGGGAGCAGTTTGCAGTGACTAACACCCAGCTTGTGGGGCAATATTCAATTCCCAGGGAAATCCCAGGATTCTGGGAGCCAGCAGTGTCACGGCACCACTTTAAACTACCATAAAAGTAAATTTAAAATGCATAATCTCTTTAAAGGTGAGGGTACAAACAAAAAGGGACTTCCTTCAAAGACTCATTTTCTTGAGAAACCAGAACTGTACATGCAACAAAAACCTGTCTGCTGAAAAAGAAGTTATAGCTTTTCTGAGCAACCTGCAACATAGATGGAAATCTTAAAACCAGAAGTAATTAAAATAACAAGGTGCAGTTTGACTTTTTGACGACATATTTTGACTATTTAAAATGAGTTGGCCTTCCAAGTTTAAAAATTACTCTAATTTCAGATGTGAAGTTAAATTTGTATTTTTAATATTTTTAAATGTCATTGATTTAAACAGTGAGAAGCATAACTAAAGGTTGAGAAAGCTTTTGAAAGGTTGTAACACTGAGATATTTCCCTTGGGTATTTGAGTCCCAAGCTTTTTTATCCTGCCAGCCACACACTCACTTATTTTATTGTTTCTTAGTTTATGAGCTTTGGGAAAGACACTTTAAACCAGCTTTGCTCAGAAAAACCAGTTTGACACCTTCACTTAAAATGAATTATTCCTTACAGGAACTGGTTTTAACAGCTGGGATACTCACGAGCAATATCTGTTTATTTTTATTTTAAAAACCCCAGCATGTCAAAATTTGGCATCTCTTTGTGCCTTCCCCTGGTAAATCCAAAGTTTACATTTCCCCTTGGGGGTTCTGGGTGCTAAATCCTTTTGATTTTTTAACACCTTGATCCCCTTTGAAAACCCCAGGTAATAAATTCTACACGCTCGTGTTTGCTTGTTGAATATTTCCCTCAACGTGTCACCCATTTCCTCCCTAGTTTAAGAGACTAGAATTCCTAAGAGTTCACAGAGCTCCTCTGTTGAAAAGTGATTTTTGAGACCGAGTTTTTTTTGTTTGAAAAGTGCAAATACCGTTCTTTATTCCCCAAAAATGCACTCATTATTAACTCACCGCTTGGAAACAGAGCCCGGCTTGGCGCTTCTTTCAAATCCCGCCCGAGGAACGCGGGTTTGCTGTTGTTTTTATGGGATTTTGAGGGATTTTCCCATTAATCCTGCCCTCCTCAGCCAAGCACTCCATCGACTGCCGGCTGCAGAAGCACTCGGCCAACCCCCAGGAGGATTTTCTGTGTGACATCTACTCGGGGGGACAGCTGTCCAGGAAGGAGCTGTACGCTGCCATCGCGGAGCTGCAGATCGCTGGAGTGGAGACGGTAAAGCTCATTTTCCAAGGGTTTGGTTCTTCCCAATTCCCTCCTTAGGTGCAAATCCCCATGTGGAGATGGTAAAACTGATTTTCCAAGGGTTTGGTTCTTCCCAATTCCCTCCTTAGCTCCAGATCTCTGTGTGGAGACGGTAAAACTGATTTTCCAAGGGTTTGGTTCCTCCCAATTCCCTCCTTAGCTGCAGATCCCCGTGTGGAGATGGTAAAACTGATTTTCCAAGGGTCTCAAATCATCCCAGTTCCCCCCTTCCTTCCACAATCCAACCACTGGCACACCTGGAAGTGAGTTAATCCTAAAGTTGCCTCAGTGGCCCAAGTGGAAATGGATTTTTTACCTGAAATCCCTGGGGTTTTGTTTTTTTTTTACCTGAAATCCCTGGGTTTGTTTTTTTTTTACCTGAAATCCCTGTTTGTTTGGTTTTTTTACCTGAAGTCCCTGGGGTTTTTTTTAACCTGAAATCCCTTAGTTTTTAATTCTGGAGGACAACTGGGACTGCTCATAATCCACCAGGCTGTCAAAATTCCATAAAGCTGTGCCCATCCATAAATGTTGCTTTGAACTTTGGGCAACTTCTTCCTTCTGTCCCTACAAAAAGAGGACTCAACGTTTCTTTTCGCTTTGTTCCAGACAGCCAACAGTTTGCTGTGGGCTCTGTACAACCTTTCCCGCAATCCACACGTCCAGCAGAAGCTTTTCCAGGAAATCCAGAGAGTTTTGGATGCTCAGAAGAGTCCAAATGCTGAGAGCCTGAGGAATATGCCTTACCTAAAAGCCTGTCTGAAAGAATCCATGAGGTAAAATTCCCAAATAACTTGCAAAACAATCACCAAGTTTTTTCCCAGCTTCTTTGTACAAGGGAGAAAATTGTCCAGAATTATCCAGCACACAGAATTTTGTTCATCTTGCTGTTTGAGGGGGAAAGTGAGAGAATAAAAGAAGGAAAATTGCTGGGAATTTAACCCATTGTTCTCTTTCCCTGCAGGTTAAGTCCATCAGTGCCTTTCACCACTCGCACCATCGACACAGAAATGGTTCTGGGAAATTATGTCCTGCCCAAAGGGGTAAGTCAATTAATTCAGTTTACTGGGATGGTTTTCCATTTATTAATTGCCCTTTAAACCACAGAAGTTGCTCATGTTTCAATTTCAAACTGACACTGCCAAAGTGCCAGCCCCAGGACAAGGAATGAGGGATTCACCCCAAGGTCTCCCATAAACACAAACCCACGCCTGCCTGTGCCGCTCTTGGACAGAAATATTTGCCTGAAATAATTTTATTCCAATTTTTTTCCTCCCCAAATTTTCCCATGATTGTCTGAGGAAACCACGACCTTTTCCATGTTCCATTTAATTTTTTGGGAATTCCATCACCTCTCCTGGGGAAGCTGCTGCGCGATGTTTTTCCATCCCGGAGCCGATTCCCTCGGTGATTCTCTCTCTTTCTCTGCTGCAGACGGTGCTGATGATCAACAGCCATGCCCTGGGCTGCAGTGAGGAGTATTTCAGGGGCTGGGCTGAGTTCAGGCCCGAGCGCTGGCTCCAGAGGGGCTCCATCCATCCCTTCTCGCACGTCCCCTTCGGCATGGGGAAGAGGATGTGCGTGGGGCGCCGCGTGGCGGAGCTGCAGCTGCACCTGGCCCTCTGCTGGGTGAGCCCCCCAAAAAGGGAATCCTGGGGGGGGTTTCTCTCCTCCAGCTGGCCAGATCCTGATGGGAATGTTTCATTCCAGCTGATCCGTAAATACCGGATTGTGGCCACGGACCAGGAGCCGGTGGAGACGCTGCACTCGGGAATCCTCATCCCCAGCCGGGCGCTGCCCATCGCCTTCCAGCCACGAGCAGGTTTGTGCTGGGGCTCTGCTGCTCACTGCAGCCTCTCTGGGGACCTGCTCTGGGGCTTTCCAACCAGTGGGACTGGGAGAGAGCAGCTGTTTGTCTGCTCCTCATTCTCACACTGCCACACCAGCCTCATTCTTTATTTTAACAAATTAAGTGCTGTCCCAGTTCAGTATTTTAATAGGAAATATCCTGGGTTTTGCACAGCTCATGGCTCTGGAATTAATTTTATATCCACATTTTGTTATAAATTTATACCCACATTTTTTGATTTTATACCCACATTTTCTCTGCGTGATGCAGATCACAAAGGGGGAAATGAACATAGACCCACTGCTGCAGGAAATAACAGCCAGTGTTTTGTTTGAACTTCTCCACTGCATTCCCAGAAGATACTTCCTGGAAAAGAGCATTTGATCTTGAATATCAATTTGCAGATTAAATAAAAGATACCTTTGTGAAGGAACTTCTCACTGAGAATTTAAATAACAAAACTTCATTTGAGGCAGGACAAAGAAAAATCTATTTGTAAATGGTCATGCAGCATTGCAACTTCTATATTTTGAATGTAGGATTTTCCCTCTCACAAGTTTATGCAAACAAACCAACAAAATAACTTACTTGTGCAAAAACCTAAATTGAGAAAACAAGTCTCTGATCTAGAATTAAATCCTCCAATTAGAAATCAAGGACATTTCAATACTGGGGAAGATTTTTCTTTATTTTTTTGCCAGCCAGCATCTCCCAGTATAATCTGAATATTCACTTCTTTAACTGAAGTTTGCTCAGCGCTCTTTGCTTTGATACAATCACTATAAAGATTCTTTTTTTGTTCAATACAGGTTGCAAAAAATAAAGGACATCTCTGCTGCTGCCTGCTCCTAAAAGGGAGACAGTGGGAAAAGCTCTGGAGGCTCCAGCAGCCAGGGAAGAACGGCACCACATCCCCTGAACAACTGCTGAGCCTGGAATAGCAGCAGGAAAAGCTCCCAGACTCTTTTATTGAGAAAATGTGCTCAAAAGGAGAGAAAAATACCAAGTGCTTTCATAGAGCTGTGGCAATCCAGGGATTTAGTGCAGGATGAGCCCTGGGGGTTGTTGGACAGCCCAGTTTAGGGAGAGCTGCCTCCAGCTGGGGACCAGTCCCGGCTGGAATGGCCCTGGGAGCTCAGAGTGGGAGAGCTTGAGGGAGGGGAAATGGCCTCAGACTTCCCAAATTAGCAGTGCCAGGAGAAGGGAGTTTGGAGTCTGGAAAAAGGCTAAAAACAGGGTTGGAAAACTGGGCTAATTAAAGAAATAATTTCCTTGGCATTCTTCACTGCCTGGATAGGAGGGAAATTGGGACAAATGCACCTGACAGGATTGAGTGCCTTGCTCTGACAGTTCCAAGCTTGTGCCTGACACACCCTCTGTTCTTCCCCATGGATTTCCCTCCCTCCAGCTCCTGCACAGCCCATTCTATCCCACTTTTATTGTAAAAACTTAGTGGCCTTTCACTGCATGAAAAGGCCTGATCCAGAAATGGAGCCACTGGAATCCTATGGGTTCTGCCTCTGCGGAATGAAGATTATCCTAACAGGATAGTGACACGAGATTAATAACATAAAATTGTGTTTCCAAGAACAATTCCACAGGAAATGAGGACCCTAAACATTTCCAAGGGGTCTGTTCCTCGTGGAGACTGCAATATCCAAAGGTTCGAATTGCCCTGCATGCAATACTGGATTTTGGCTGTTATGGTCACTGCTTTTACACTTTTGCAGTTTCAAGTACAGCTTTATCTCTATATATAATCCTGAATTTATATTTTTTTTTACATGCTGAAATGATGCAAGTTCTTAGTATTTGTTGGTCTCTTGTTTTTCATTTGTTCTCCTGTGTTACGCTCAGACATGTAAATGCATCCCTGTAACAATGTATAAAACAGTTTTTGCATTATCTGAATATTTCTAGGCAGTTTTGTAAGAAAATAAAGAGTTCTATTTTTTTTCTCTATAATTAGTCTTGCATTATTTATTTTAAAGTCTTTGCAGCTTTACAAAAGAGGCTTCTGCATCCTTTTCTCTGCTTGCCGTGGACATCCCAGGGCTGGGATTGGGACATTTCTCAGCCATTACAAGATAAAATCCACAGAAAGTTCTGAGGAAGGATGAAAATAGCTTGAATTTTTTCAGAATCAGAAGAAATTATGCATATTTAAGAAATGCCACCCTTCCTGGCGGGGTGAGGGTGCCACTGAGAGCAAAGAGGATGGGACATCAATCCCCAGGGAGATTTGTGTAGGTTTGTGTGAGGGCTCTACCCAAAATCCTGGGACAAAAACCCACACCAAGCCCCTCTTCACAGCATTATAAACCCATATTAGAGCCAGTGGAGCTGTGCCAATACAGCACGAGCACTAAGAGAAAGAGTTTGTTCAATTCTGGGCATCTCTGGCTGCTCACAGTGCTCTGATGATGGAACTTGCAGAGGCAGCCGGAGCACAGCGCTGTTATCTGCTGAACTGACCTTGGCAGCCTCGTTATCAGCTCTTTCGAAACCCTCGATTGCTCCTGGGCACTAAATCACAGCCCGATATTTACTGGACCGATCAGGATTTTTGCTATTTAAATGTAGTGGGCTCAGAGATGCAGGCGGGTGTTGCTGTGAGGGAGGTTTTGATTGATTCTCTACGAGCTCAGGTACAAATCCCTGCTCTCTGCTGGGTGACCAAGGGTCCAATAACCACTGACCTGGAAAATTGAGTTCCGGAATCTTTGGAGCTTTTTCAGGTTCCTGAAGTTTGCAAAGAACTTCATTAATCTCCTACCTCCAAGTAAATGTCCAAAGCAATTTACTTAGGAAATAGGTAATTATCAAACTACACAGATAATGAATGACCAAGCCAGACTTCCCCATCCAGAAACCAGCAGAGCTTTCTTTCCCCTCGTATTTCCAGAGCAGAAACCCAGTAGGATGCCCTGAGATTAATAAAAATCTGGGAAACCTTTTGCCCAGCAGGATAAACCCAGTGCAGTGCTCATTCAGAATTTCCATTTCAACACCACTTCCCTGTGATCATTTCCTGCAGTCACTCCTCAGAGGAAGGAACAGAACTTTAATGGAATTAATTCCTTGTCTCAACAAGGAAGGGAGTGAGGTTTACCTGTCCAAGAGGAAGTGAATCCTGCTCAGGCTTTGGGCATGTTGGAATTGGAAAGGCAAAGCTGGAGCCAATAATCCACGCTATTTTTATGGATGAGAAGTCTTTAGGTCTGACAATCTGGAATTTTTGATCTGTGCTCTGCTCCTGACAAGCTGCTGTTCCTCAGCTCTGAGTCAGTCCCTGCAGAGGGATTTGGGCACCTTTCCCTGCTCTCACCAGTGACAGAAAATCCTCAGGTTTGTCCCCTCCAGCCTGAGAAGGAACTTTGTGCTCAACAGCCAGAGGCAGAACTCACATCTCAGTCAATCCTTTAATTAATGGTGTAAAATAACTCAAAATCAAAAAAATTAATTCTGTGGATTGTTCACAGCTGAAGTTCATTTCAGGACAAATGTTCAGAAAATCCATCCCATGTCTCATTTTAAAGATGTGAAACTTCATTTTTAATTCAGTGGTGCTGCACGTGGGTGGGTGGGTTTTTAATGGATTATCACTCCTTAAAAAAAGACAAAGTTGGACAATTTTCAGTCCTCTGTGGCAAATATCTTGAAAATTTATGGAGGAGTTGTAGCTTTAGCAGAAAAAAGCTGGTTTTGGCTTCAGATAATTGAAACAAGAGGTTTATTGAGATTGAGGCTACCAGCAGCTCATTAATCCCTTACCCTGGATGTGTGAATTCCCCTGAGAACTCGGCCATTGATAGCTCAAGGTGTGGGTGGCTGCATTCAATTTATTTTAATGTCTCCTTTCAGGCAGGGCTTGGAGAAAAATGTGAATATTATATTATGAAATTGAACATTGTGCCTGTTCACTTTTATTTATTCTTGGGTGTTTTTGAGTATCAGAGTTGAAGAGAGTGAAAACCAATTTTTCTTTCTTGTCTGTTCACCTAGAACTTCATGAATGCCTCATCCAAATCCTGCATGGATTTTGTCTCCTATATTCCCATACTCCTTGCTAGCAGAGAATGGACTACATCGAATTTCAACTCTTGTCCACGGTTTATTATCTCAGTTCTGTGATCTCTGAGGCTTTGGAACAACCTAACAAGTTAAACTTCAGCTGGAGGACTTGGATCCAGGAGGAATTTTAGAGAACTTTACATTGTAGGGTTTGGATGGAGCTGAACATTTATGGAGCAATAATTCCTGACAGGAAAAGCAACAGCGAGGCCTCCCTATAAAGCAAAATATTTTTCTCCAAGGGACAATGTCAAAACAAGTGTGGAATGGAATGTGGTTAATAATCAGGGAAAATTATCCTGTGCTTCCTTGGGCATGTTCCTCTCAACAAGTTCAAACTCTTTGCCTCTAATTTTCCATGTGTTGAGTGAACTCCAGACAGTGGGAAGGGAAGGGAAGGGAGAAGGGAAGGAGTCAGCTGCTGGCAGGGACAACAGCAGGGCAATAAAGGGGAGCCAGGAGTACAAAAATTACCCCAAATTGAAATCTGCACGTCCATGGTACTTTAACCCTCCACTATCAACTCAGGTGTCCTGAAAGGGGAATGGAAATCAGAGTCTCATCTGATTCATGCTGCTGGTGAACTGTGCTCCACAGAAAAACAGGAGATAGGAGAGGAGCAGGGGAATGCTCCAGGTCTTGTTTACCTCGCTGCAGATGGACTTCCAGCAGCACAGAGCTGGCTGAAGGGGAAGGAAGGAAAAAGGTTCTCCAGGTTTAATGGAAGTGATGGGAGGAATGTTTGAGAAGCCCCAGGCAGAATGGGTTGCACTTGCCCAGACTTCCAAGCTCCCTGAAAAATGCCCTTCCTGTTATCTCAGTTCCACCACGGGAATCACGGGCAGTTTTGCAGCTGAGGTCAATGCCTGACTGAGGCTCTGTCCCATTTTTCTCCAGGGCAAAGGTACCCAGATATCTGCCAGGGGTCAGCCAGGAGCCAGCTCAGCCGTGGGCAAAGGCCACCCCCTGCCCAGAGCTGGGAGCTGCCTTGGTGGCTCGGCAGGGACCTCCAGCCTGAGCCTGGAGACCCCAAACGCTCCTCAAACTGCTGGGGTTGAACATCTGTGCCACAAAAACCACAGCAGAAAACCTCAGCTGAACAAATTCTGGTCATTTTAAATGGGAGCTGAAGTAGAGCAAGGAAGAGTTTGGGAGGGAGGTTCTGGGCAGTTTGAGAGGATAACTGGGGTCATCCACACCTTTTGCTCTGCCAGGTTTTGGTGCTCTGGAAGAATCCTGTCTTCCCTCCGAAGGAAAAGCTTTAATGCACGTTGCTCCTTCTAACATTCAATATTTCAACACAAGTGAAAGGCTTCAAAGCACACTCCTCTAAAATGAAGGGAACAGAAGAAAACAGGAGATATTTGAAGTGCTGTCAATGATAGAAAGGTCTCAGGTAATTCAATAATTCTTACTGGGAGCTTCCACTGCCGCTGGGGGTGGCACTCAGTGCTCTGGTTTAGGTGACAAGGTGGAGATTGGGCAGAGGTTGGACCCTTGGAGATCTCTCCTGATCTAAATTAATCTGTGATTCTGTGATTTGGGACATACAAAGGGAAGCTGGCTCCATAGATCAGGCATTTGGTTTTCCTACGAAAATTTAGTATTTCAAAGTTCACCTCTAAGTGCTCGTTCCTGGAAGGGCTGATAAGAAGTGCAGGCTGAGAGAAGCATTTTCAGGGTGGTGAAATATCATTTTATCAGATTTATTGGTTGCAGCAGGAGTGGTGCATCCTACCTACCTATTAAATACATATTTGTGTGCAGACTGGAAAGGATTTTTGGGGACAGAAAGAGCCATAGAATTACAAAGAGAATTCAAGCCCATAATTGTGAGGATATTTCCTTTATTGACCTGTTTGTAGATGATGCTTTCATTTAGACACCTGGAGCAGCAGTTGATGGGAATCAATGGGAGTTAAATTCCCCTGAAATGGAGAGAGCTGATCCCCTGGAGCTGCTCACACCAATCCCAAAGGAGAGGGTAGCTGGGGGAATTTTTTAGGTGTGGTTTGCTCGCCTGCAATAAAAGCCCTGTGGAGATTGCACCCCAAGGAACTTTGTGGTTCACAGACTGATTATGAACCCTTGTCCTTCACCCCCTTTCGTGAGCAGGGATCCTGGGACTTTGATCCAGACAAAAACCTTTTTGTGCAGGGCTGGTTTTAGTAGGATCACAGGGCTGCTCTGACTCAGCTCTTGGCTGCAGAACTGCTGCAGTCAACAGCAGCCCTGTGGCACCAATTCCTACCTGGGGATGAGACCTTGGAGCTGGAAAGGGCCAGACCACCCCCATGTGCAGCCAAAGGAACCAGGAAGATCCCCAAGGTCTCTCTTAAGAGAACTTCAGGTACTGAATCATTTAGCTGGAGATGCAGTCCCTCAGGTTCTTAAATATTAAAGAGAAATTAAGCCACCTAAAACCAGCAGGACTTTAGTTTTTTATTCTAAACACTAAAATTTCACTTTGGATACACAAGAACCTCTCAGGACTTCCCTTCTGGTCGGAAGGAGAAAAGAACTAATTGCACAAGGTATTTTTTGTTGCTGAACAGTAGCAAAACAACTTCCCAGCACAGGGCCAGGCTCTGAGGGAAGCCTGGCAAGGAAGGTGTGCCCCAAGACATTTTCCAGGCAGGACAGAAGCTCCAAATGCAGTTGATTCATAACTCTTGCAAATCCCCTCTTGCCCAAAGGCAGAACTGAAAGGGAAACTCATTGCTTAAAGAATCAGAGTCAGCTGGGAGCCAGCAGCAAACCCCTGCAGTGGGGAAGTTTTATTTGTCTGTGGATACAAATGAATGGAATAAAAGTTTAAAAATAGCACATTATGCTGCCTGCAGGAGGGGTTGTTCAGGGAGGGACGTGGCTGATGCCAAATGTTTGATGTG